AATTTGATTGGTTGACCTGAATTTTATCAGGTCGGGTCATAAGCTTGACCTGACCTGATGTTGACCTGAAAATTTGTCTATCCGACCTGAAATTTTCAGGTTGGATCAGATCGGATCACAGGTTGACCTGACCTGATTCAGAGCTCTAATCATATCAGTAAGTAAATATAATCAAAATTGATTTTTTTTTTAAAAAAAGGAACTTCAATTAATATTTGATATTTTTAATATAGAAAAAGGCCAGAAGAATTAAAGGTGCTAGTTCACTTTTTGATTTGAATAATTAGCAAGTTTGAAATACAATAAGAAAGAATTATTATCAATTTTGAAAAACAATAATTATCATTTTCTAAAGATTTAGAGATAGACTCAGAAGAGATAATAACATAAATAATTAACATTTATAATTAGAGCTAGAAATCAGATGAGATTCAATATTTTTTTAGAAATTTATTTATAATTTTTGTTAAAATTTTAACTAATTTTAATATTTAATTTTATTAGTTGAAAGCATTATTGTGAGAGGTTGACTACTATGTATTTTTGCTTCAAACTATACAATTAATGAGAACTCAAAATTATAGCAACAATTTTAAAATTTATATTCAGTACTCTCAAAACGCTCCTGAATAGATATTTATAAATCAAATACTTTAACTGTTACTGATTTTTCAGCATCAGTTACTGAAACTGAAAATCAAAATGATGACATCAAAAAAGAAGAATAAATTTGACATATTTATTATAGCGAATTATCTTCGAATTTTTAGTTTATTATTTATTATATTGTATTAAATTTTATATTTATATTTTATTATATTTTATTTTATATTTTCAATTAATAAACTATTTATTATTAATTTGATATTATAATATAAATAAATCATATAAAATGCGAAAATAAATAATAATAAAATCATTTAAAAATCAGAAATTTTATTTTATTAATAAGTCAAATTTTATTTTATTAGTTAAACAAATTTAAGCTGATTTTTTAAATATATCAAACAACTACTAATCATTAATGTTAAATATTTTTTGTGTGATATGAAAATAGGTAACTTCAGTTATAACTAAAAATGCTGATTGTTTTGGCAATAATCAGCAGAAATTAGACTATATTTTAGCTAACGTTTAGCACTTTAAAATGATAAAATGGATTATTTTGACTAGTAAGGTAAAAAAACTTTTTTCTCGTTGGATTTTTTCCAAGAATTTTTACTTTAAAAAAGTATTTATTCAAAGGCAGCTGCAGCTTAGTTTGCGAACAAAACAAAAATCCTTCTTTCAAAAATATTTCTCTCTTTTTTCTTTACATCTCTATCCACATAAAAATTTTTGAAATAATCTAAACAATATTGTTTTTTGTTAAAATATTTTTTCTCACCTCTTTTCAAAAAAATTTTTCCATTTTTTCTCTTTTTCTTTTTTGCCTACAAAAAGTAAGCATTAAGGGGTATTTGAACTATGATCATGATCAATATACTTTAGATAAACAAATCTTATGTGATGAACCCTCCTATTTTTAAACAAATATACTCTTTTTTTGATTGACCTTTGCCTTTCTACAGATCCTCTGTTATCAAAGAATACATACAATTTTAGCGTGATATCTCTCTTTTAGCGTTCTATGATTTTATTATACATAAATTATGTGATAGTTTAGGTAGTACAATCTGGTGTAGCACTAGCTTCAACCCATTTAGTCAAATATTCAGTTGCTATAATGATATACTGATTTCCTTTAGTAATATGTGAAAGTAGTCCACATTAGCATTCTTAAATGTTATTTATATAATATAATGATTACTACTACTCAATCTGATATATTGAGATACTCACTTAATATAAGTTCAGTTTATCTAGATCTATATCTCCTTAATAAATAAGTAAAGGGTATAGGCAGTGTTATTATGAATATTAAACAAAACAAAATTAGACAGTTTGTGTTCATGTCCAAATGAAATTTATATCTAAGACAATTTTGGATAATCTTATTTAAAATTAATGTTTAATAAATAAATTATACAGATCAAAAAAATTTTATTTATTTATTTATTATTATTTCAAATTTATAATCAAATTATTATTTAAAAATTGCAAATCTAATTCTTTAAAAAGAGATGTTAACTCACACTTTGCATTTATATTAATAGCTGAATGATTAAAATTTTGGAATTCTAAAGAAATATTTTCTTTATCAAATTGTTCAATATTTTCATTATTATTTTCTTCTTTTAATATCCTTGAAGATAATTTTCAAAATCTTCTTTCAAATTAATATTATCTTCAATTTCATTATCTGATTCATCAATATTAACTTCTTCTTGTAAATTTTCATTATCTTTAAAACTTTCTTGTATTATATTATTATATTTAGTAAATTCAACATCAGATACTATAGTTTGTACAATTAGAAGTGAAATATTTGTTTGAAGTTAATGATTATATATAATGTTTGCTCGCAATTTACTCATATTAAGAACTTTAGATGACTAAAAATTAAAATAATATATATAAATATTTAATATAAATTATAAATTAATATAAATTTATAATTATTTACAATTAATCAATTATGTCAATTTGAATGTAAAAAACTTATATAACTTCAAAGCCTTTTAACAAAAGCTGCATTTACACATATTCCAAATATTCTATATGCTACTAAATCTAATTCATTAGTAGAAGTACAAATAAAATACTAATATCAAAATATATCACTATTAAATTGATTCTATAAGGTTAAGTCAAAAAGATAAATTTCTAAATGAAAATTATCAAATGAAAGCTTTACAATAGAAAAGGAGGAAATTCTAAAAAAATTTTTTTTTGAGTTAATGTTAAATCCGAACTTATTTACTAAAAAAATCATAATTAGCTTAGAAAGTAAAATTTTAATTTTTTTTAGAATTTTCTTTCTTTTTACTACAAAGCTTCCAAATTCTTTAAGTATACATTTAGGTTTCTTTCCAGATCATATACGATAATAATATCTAAGCTATAAACTAAATGTAACATAATTAATATTATGTTAATTATTAAATTGATTCATTTGATAATTAAGATATAATAAGCAAGCAAATATCAAAAGTGATTACTTCCATTTTCACTATTGTCATTCTAATCAAATTTTTAATTTTATTGCTAAGTCTATATCAGAATAATTTTTCAAAATTGCATATGATAATTTAAACTATGAATTACTTCATATAATCAGACTTTATTTTTTTGTAATATATTAAGAATTTTACAATATGAATAAAGTATTTCAATTAAAAGGTTAATATGTTGCCAAAAAGTCTATAAATTAATTATTTCATAAATTTCACATTTTAAAGTTAGATTATCTTTAGTTTTTTAGTGAATTTCAATAATTAGCAGTTCAAATTTAATTGCTAAAATCTAAAGAAAAAATTATATTAAAAATATTTAAATAATTTATTTATATATATATTTATTATTATAATAAAATAAAATAAAATATTATCTGTAATGCTTTTTAAATTTGCTAAAAACTTATACATACATTATAGTAACTGTTTCAATGAGTTTCACCTAGTATAGCAATTAAATAATATTTACTATATTCTTCATATTGCTGATTTTTTAATTTTACAATAAAAATTTATTATTAGAGTTTTGAAAAAAGTAGCAAACTGAATTGCCTTATCAATTGATATTTTAAATTCCATTGATTCCTTAAAAATTTCACTAACACAAAGATTGATTTGATGCACAAAATATGGTAGAAAAACTATTAAAGTATTTATTAATTTTAATTAACGTCTATTTAAAATAATTTATTAATTTAATTTTATAATTATAATAAATATATAAAAAATTAAAAAAAAATAACAAAATATTAACATATCTGAATACTGCATAAGTTGGTATACTATCAGTAACTATAACATTAACTTTGATTCTTTAGTTATTTAATTCTGTATGTAGACTATTTGTTTTTTTCATTACATTTATACATCAGTAAATTTAATAGGGCGTAATATTGCGTAAACTTACATTCTGTAATATTACGAAAACTTACGAGACCGCCGTAAGATTACGTAAATTGTATT